GTGTGTGTGTGTGTGTGTGTGTGTGTGTGTGTGTGTGTGTGTGTGTGTGTGCAGCTTTTGTTGCCCACACTCCAGCAGGGGCTTCAAAGTGAATTATTCAAGCAAGATTTGAATACATGCAAATTGTCCTCTCTCCCCTTTGCTGGCACAGATCCAGGTTACCTATGGCAACGGCGCCTTCAAAAAGCATCTTTTCAGCCTTCCTCTCCTCCTCCTCCACCCTCCGACCATCTTAGCCACCCAATCGTGTTGTTTCCACGTTGCATCACCAAGTTGGGGCGGCTGCTATACGGTGCAGSAGGGTGGCAAAGGCATCCCATAATTCACAGTCAAGGTCATCTGAGAAGAGAAGACGGCGAGGTGACAGGTAGAGGGATCCTTCGTCCTGAGCCTGGAGTCTACGAAGATGAAATCCAGCTTCTGCGTGTGATATCACAGCTGAGTGGGAACATTCAAGCTCAATGGGGTTATTTTAAATGAAATAACAGAAATAATAATAGGTTTGGATACGCTTCAACGTCTTATTTGTTTCAGAACATCTAAAATAAATTTTAGGCCAAAAGGAGCTCAAAGTAATTTTTGAAAAAAAAAATTTTTTTTGAAAAAAGAAATCACATTTTATCTCCATTATTTGGTTTTAAACCAACGTGTTGTGACATCTTACTTGTTTACAGATTTTTGACAGAACTGTAAATAAATCTTTTAAAAATTACAACAGTTTAAATGTGTGAGTTTATTTTTTAAAGTGARTGTGTAAAAATGCATTTTCCAATAAACTGCTTTGTGATTTTATGTAGATATTTTTAACATGTTCATATAATTGTGGTTTTAATTTTTTTTGTAATATAAAATATTAACATAAAATTGAATTAACAATACATTTATATAAAATATTATGCATTAATATTTTGGGATTTTACAATGTCTGTTCTTGATTTAGTCATTTTTTGGTAACATTGATATTTTAATCTGTTTCTCTAACTTATAAAATGTATCACATGTATGTAGTAGAATTAAAAAAAAACCAGAAAATATCTTTATAAAAATCTAAATATTGAATATAGGGGAGTGATATTTTGTTTAGTAAGGTCAAGTTTAGGCCATTTGAGCTCAAATCAGCTTCTGATGGTTCAGAGCTGAAGTGAAGCTGCACAATGCTGCCATCTACTGGAAGAGAAGAAAACAAGAGAAGTTTTAGAAAGCTGTGTTTGGTTTTTATCCCATGTTGAAAATTTAAGCCCTAATAATGTCCTGATGACTCTTCATAATCCAGGTAGAAACATCTAAAAAAAGAAAAAAGTTGATTCAGTACGAATTCTTCATTGAAAGATCTTGTCTCTTCTTCAGTCTGAGGAGTTGGAGCAGGTGAACCCGGGCTTACAAACACTGCCTTCGCAAAGTGGATCAACAAGCTTGGATTACAGGCAAAATGTTTTTTACGAAGAAGAGCCCATCCAAAGGACGTACTCACTTTTATTTATTTATTTATTTTTCAGAAAAGCCTCATTAAATTTTGAAGTATGAGTCAAAAACAACAAAATTCTTATGAGATTTTAGATATATTTAAGACAAAAAAGTAGATTGTTGAAAGGATACGTGTCATGCCTTTAAACCACTATTTCACATTTATATCATTCAGGTGGGATCTATATAAAGTGGAACTTCAATGCTTTGGTCTGAATTCCTCCTTACTGTAACTCCACAAGCCCCTCTTTCACCCCTTTCTAAGGTGTGTCTCAGATCAAYTCATTTTGATGCTGTCTCTTTAAATCCAGACGAGGAGCTTCACACCCCACAAACCTCAAGCTTCTGGTTCATTCTAGTTTGATAGAGAGTGTTTATGACTGCAGGGCAGACCTGATTTACAAATGAATTAAAAGATGTCAACTTGTCCATCCAGCCTTACATGTTGGAGCCAGTCTGACCCCGAGAGGAGAATGAAGACCACCAAATTGTAGTTGGTAAATCCAGACCTTTTTTTAAAATAGTCCCAAATGATGTAATAGTTTAGAAAACATCATAGAAAATAGAGAAAACTGAACGGGTTGAAAATTATGATCCAAACAGAATATGAAGATATCCATCAGCACAGAGAGAGACTAAAATCAACTTTTCTGCACTAATCAAAGTATACAATAAAAATATTTAACTAAAAATAAAATAGGATTTTACATATGTCCCCTTTAAGTAATAAGTATATTTGTGTAACAAAAAAATTAAAGAAAAAAGGAGCATATGCACCTTTATTATAAATATTTTTTGGTCCAGAGCTTCCTGTCTGTTGTCTTTGATCACATGGCGMCCTCTAGTGGACACAAGGACATGTTCTTCAGACTTTACACTATTGCACCGTCATACTGCAAGTATCTTTGGATCAACTTTAAAACAGAAGAGAAAAAGCACGACAGCTCCTTCTTACACATAAAAACTGTAGACTGTAATAAAACATATGAGTACAGAACAAAGATGGGATATTATGAGAATAAAGTCAAATCTGTTGTCTACAGCAGGGCTCATCAAGCCATTTGGGTCTGGGGGACCCTTTCAAAGACAAAAAAAAAAAAAATAAAAATCCAGGTACCCCCCCACCCATAAATCCTGTGCTATTTTAAAAGAATTTATTGTTATTTCAACCCCTAAATGCCATGGAAATATATATTTTTATTCAGTGTATAATGTTTGTTTACTTTGTTCTCCATGCATTAAAAAAACAAATAAACAATTTAGTGAAATGTTTTGAGAACCCCCAAGATACCTCTCGCGGACCCCTGGGACCCCAGTTTGAGAACCTCTGATCTACAATATGTATTTGTATCACAGATAAATGCATCCCTGTCCTTCCATGGAACTGTGCAGTCCTCGCACTCAGTGTAAATTCAACCCACAGTGAAACAGTCAAACTGCATAGTCACTGTTCTGTTTATTTACATGTAATACGCTGCATCATTAAAAACACAACTGTTAAAGTACATTTATTTTTAAAACGAACAAACAAAATCATTAAAGTCACTGTGTTGATACAGGATTCTGTTATGAAAATATGTGATAAAGTGCAAGCGTTAGAACACTGATCAGCACATCAATAACAAAGCTGTCTGTCCTTCTGTCATCTATCATCTRGATGATTTTCCAAACTATTTTTAATCTCCATCTTTTTGTATCCTCATGTTCTCTGATTGCGAATGATTTGCCTTTTGCAAAGTTTGATGTAACGTCTTTATGCAAAACAGATCTCGTGTCCATTCATCGTCCAATCTGAAGGATAAAGGAGCGTACCGCAGGACGGTCCAGCGTGGAGCAGGGACCGGYCACCCCCCACTGAGACGGACTTCATTCTGGGAACTCTTTCCCACCTCTCTGTTGCCAGCTCTCCAGCTCCCGCGTGATTCAGTGAATGAAGTAGCCCGTCTGATGCAGCCTGAGCAGCAGGCCGTGCGTGACGTCAAACGTGGTGAAGCTAATCCCCACTGCRACGGGCCCTTTCACCCAGTTCATGCTCAGGCCTTTGTACAGTCCACGTCTGACTCCTTCCTGTCGCACGATCTCGCACATCGTCCCCAGAATCGTGCGGTAGGACGAGCCCGTCACGCCAGCTGTCTGCATGCGCCGCCGCACCACGTCCAGCGGGTACGARGCCGACTGTCCGATCAGGCCCGCGCAGGCGCCGAATGCCAGGCGCTCGTAGGGATAAGGCTGAGATCGCTTTGTTTTTTCTAAAAATCACAGAGAAAAACAAAAWAACAATGAGTTTTAAAAATGTGTTTTAATTAGCTCTGCTTCTGTTAAAGGGGTGGTGGGTGGGGTGGGCGTATTGTGTATTTTCTAGGCACATAATTCAATTCCATACCAAAAAGTCTTAAAATTGGCCTCYGTCTCTTTAAAACCTCCTACTGTTTTGGACACTCCCACTTCAGCACAACAATGCTTTGGGGGAGGAGCTCTGTGAGGTGGGAGCTCGGCTACAGACTGAGCTACAGGGAGGAGATTTGTAAAAAAAAATAAAAAAATAGGCCGAGTTTTGTACCAGCAAGTGTTTAGACAGCTTCCCATGGCCACAGGAGATTCAAGGATGCCTCAAACATGAGTCAAAGCAACAATCTGCCTATGTTTTGGATGCGGGAATGACATTATAACACATTGTACTGTAAAACTAAAAAAATAAAAAACTATTTTGCATAAAACGCCACTCCCCACTTAAACACTCAAAAACACAAAGACAGATGGGTACCTGCATGTAACTTTTTGAGGGTCTCATAAGTGAAAAATGTGATCCCTGCATACGGGATGACACCCAGGATGGTTGGGGAGAAGCCGTTGTAAAGGGCCCGTATGCCTTCCTCCTGGGAGATGCGCACAAAAACGTGCATGATATTACTGTACCTGTAGGAGACAAAAGCATGAAACGCCAAAAATTATTTACCCAATTGTACCAAAACAGAATTTTGCAAAGACCAAACTGAGTTTTTAGGAAACAGTACTTTGGTTCTTGGGCCAGCGGCAGAAATTTTATCAACTGATATGATGAAATGGAAACTATTTAGGACAAATCTTTTTGGTTAGCTACATGTCTGAGGTGTATGAAAGTTTATGTTGACCTGATATTTGCTGCTTGGTTTGATGCTAGGGAGAATGTGGAAAACTGGCTTAAGCCAAGGCCAAACTACAGGAGTTGTCCATCTGAAGGTCATGTGTAGTCTAAAAGACATTTAAACATGAAATGTTCAGTTTGAGATGTTTGTAAGATGTTCTGATCTTAATAATTTGTACTTAGAATTTCWAATTTCTTTTATTTCATTTATCTTGAGATGTTTACATTAACATTTCAGGTCAGAAGTTTCTGTAGGTCATTCATTCCAACTGCAGTTAGACGGTTTAACACATCAAGATGTCATCAGTTACTTGGACAATTCACCTACACTGCCATCACTAATATGCACCTTCATATACATTCATTTATTTACTGTACTAGGTACAGTATATATGTACATTGTCATACGTATATCACAAGTATAGTGTTTCTTTTTTTGTTTTTCTTTGACTTATCTTTCTTTATTCTATCTCACCCTGTCCTGTTTTGAGCTGCTGTAATGTGCAAATTTCCCCACTGTTGGATCAGTTAAGTTTTATCTTATCTTATCTTAGAATCGCTTTAAATACTTTTCAGTAAGTTATGTGTTTTGTACAATTCTGGTTGAAAAAGAGCTAACCTGTAAAACTCTTATGTTAAATGCAATGCGGTTGGAAATTTATTTGCACCTAACTTTTGTGCTGAAAAAAAAAGGTTAGCTGCACCGGTGAGTTAGTCTAGAGGCCTGAAGTAAAATGTTAAAAAGCTGATTTGACAAACTGACTCTCTGCTGATAGTAATGCTGTGAAGCTGACTGCCATGGCAGATCATTCACTCAGATGCTCACATTTCTCTGGCAGTGACGGCCATTCTGGCTCGCACCATGTCCAGTGGGTAGGTTAGCATGGCAGCAGTCGTACCGGCCAGAGAACCCGCCAGGAAACGAGGGAAAGGAGGCAGAGCTCTGAAACAAACAACATGATGAGAAACTATTTTTAATGATAAGCAAAATTACAAGATGAACTTTGTTAACAGTGTTAAAAAACACACAAAACAAGATACCAGCATCTTGAGTTTGTAATTTAGCCCTGTGCTAACTTGAGCTAAATGCTAAAGTCAAGATGCTAGCACAGCTTCCCGAACTGTATAGTTTCCCATAAAATAACTGGTAATAACTCACTACCAAGAAGACCAAACAATGAAGTAAAAAAAAAAAAAAACCCACTGCTAGAGCCAATTAACACAAACGTTTAACTTTATAGCAGTTATGTCTATTTGTAACAATAGTTTTTATCTAATTTAGTTATTATGGCATTAGCAATAATTTTTAAAGTTGTTTTCTTTGTTTATATATTCTTACTTACTCACGGATTTAACAAAAGTTGTTGAAATACCCATATCATACCACTAGGTGGTGAAAATATCTACACTGACAACAATTCAGAATAAAAACAACAAAATGTTCTTAGCTTGACTAAAGATTTTCTCAAAATTCTTTCTTTACCTCATATATTTTTTGGCTGCYGTTGACAAAATTCTGTCAGCAATTAACTATTTTAGCACAAAGTCATAGTTTACATTGTGACACAGKGGTGAGCACAGCTAACCAACAAGTTAGGTTTACTAACCACTAATCTACTAAACAAGACTCTAAGCCCTGCTAACGCCAAACTGATAAAAAATGTGTGGAAGCTAACGCTAGCCTAAGACCACTGTCATTCAGTCTGTGTCACTGGTGMAAACCTGTTGTTGGTTTTCAATTAGTTTAATTTGAAGGTAGGTGGGATCATCTGTGGCAGTTTACCTCTWTCAAAATAAGTGTTCCTTTGATTGAGTTTGTATTTTTATAAATACAGTTTGCAGTTAGTCAAATAACAAAATACTTTCTTTGTAATATTTTAAACAGTCATTTTTTTGTATTCATTGTTTAAATATTGTTAAATATTATTTTCCATCACTTTGACACTTATTTTTAAAATTTTACTCACTTGCCCTGGAAGCCGTAGTGGCCCCCCAGCAGTTTTTTGTACTGTTCATGTGAACAAAACTGGATGGCAGCGTAGGGCATGACCCGCACCATGGTGGCAGAGTTCCCCCTCCACAGACTGAGCAGCCCATCCTTCATGTAGCTACAGTAGATGAACCTGAAGGCCTCCTGCGCATACAGACGGCACAATAGTTCCCGCGTTAATCTTCTTAACATAGTTGTGTTATAGTCTGAGCATATTTGTGTTACACAATGAAGCCTGCTAGACTGAACCGGTGTCAACAGACTCAGCAAGAATGAAGGCATTTCAAAAACAACAGTTTATTATGAACACTGATCTATAAAACCTGATGTAGTTTAAAGTACTGTTGAAACTTTAAGGCAAGGAGGGGCGATTGGTGGACCGTGGACCACATCCAGCCCACAGATGACTTCTGTCCCACCCACCAATGAGGCCCCGCCCCCACACATTTTTTTACGAAGACTCTTTACAGAATTTCAAGACAAACCTGTGTTCCGTCTGCTTAGAAAATGCTGTCTGCCATTAAGGATTTTAATATAAGTTCCCATAACAACATGTTGCACAAAGCTAAATATGCTAAATTTACTGAAGCCACAAGTACAGAAACAAAAAAGACTTTACTAGAACTATGCAGGAGTCTGCACTCAAGGCAACTTCAGCTCACTAAAGTGTTTATTTTTTGTTTGTTTGCTATTCATCGTTTTGAACAAGAGTACAACTGTTATAAATGCATTTGAGCATGCAATTAGTGAAGTTACTGCTCTGTATGTTGGCTTATTAAACATACAAACATTTTTAAAATGGCAGTTTTATTTAGGGCTGCCACGATTAATAGATTAATCGACGACTAATCAATTATTAAAATAATCGATGACTAATTTAATAACAGATTAATCGTTTTGGCTCTGTGATGGACTTGCGACCTGTCCAGGGTGTACCCCGCCCCTCGCACTGTGACTACTGGATATGGGCACCAGTGACCCACACGACCCTGAAAAGGAAGAAGCGTGTACAGAAAATGGATGGATTAATCGTTTTCTTTTTGTTGTTGTTCTTTTCTTTGTTTTTCTCTCCAAACTGCTTTGACACATTCCACTGCCACATCTACCTTTCTGTCCTTGACACACATGCACAGTAGTGGTAATTGGGGTAGACCGTGGACGTCACAAGACATTATACAGACAGGCTCTGGTATCATGGCTACCAGACAACGGAGCTCAAAAGTGTGGGATCATTTTAAGAAAATGAAAGAGAAACCTGTGYAATATCTGCAGAGCAGAACTTGCCTTCCACAGCAATTATTTTTAGTTAGCATATAGCTAAAATCTAACCATGGTTATATAATAGCAGCTGCATTCTGGTGCAATAAGCTGTATGTTTTATATTCAATTAACGTATGATCTGATTAGTCGACTAATTGAAAAAATAATCGGTGATTAATCGATTATAAAAATAATCGTTTGTGGCAGCCCTGGTTTTATTACATTTGGTTAAGTGTGCAGTGCTGTGTGGCCCTCTGATTGTGTCAACAAAAACTTCTGGCCCCTCCACCATTTAAGTTGCCCATCCCCACTTTAGTGATTAATGTTTTACAATAAGGGTGTAGTGAGTATAACCTTTGATCCTTTGATGCAACAGGTCATAACAATCAGTGTGATGGCCCCGCTTACCACTCCAGTGGCATGTAAAGTTACTACAATCTACAGTTTATCAGTTCCTGTTCCTCTGATGAACTCACCTTTGCTGAAAACCTTTGTGAGGACACTGTGAAAACAACAAGAAACAAAGTGACGTCAGAGTTAAACAATCTCCTGTGTAGTTAAACATCTAGTGAGAGGTTTAATAATTAGTCAGCAGCAGTTACAATGAAAACACTGAAGAAAAATATTTGTTTACTAAATGCTGCAGTGTAATTAACACCACAGTAGATGTGTCAAGTACGAGCAGCACATGATTCGTCTATTTCAGAAAACAAAAGTAGGTTTCCCCGAGTGTTTACTTGCCTTGAAAAATGATCTTGGTCCGGTCCAGAGGTGCGATGACCGTTTTGGCCACGGCGCCAGCAAAYGCACCACACAGCAGAGACTCCAGGGCTGTCAATCTGGGCCTCAGCTCCTGTTGGTTCAAAAAACGTTTTTACGTGTTACTAAGTACAATAACGCAACACAATATTCATGCAGCGGTTACATTTTTAAAAAGTAAGACCGAAAGAAATGCTCTGTATTTTGTCTCTTTTCTTCATGGCCTGTGTGTAAACGCTACAAATGTTCTCAGTCGAAAGAAGTTCCTGAAATAAAATAGTTACAATGTGTACAATGATCAGGGACACAGGGTTTTAAAAATCTACTTAAAACTGTATTTAGCAGCCATTTGAAGTGCATTGTTCTAAATGTTTAGGATTAAAAACAAACATAAAACTGTTATATATTTATTGAAAAGGTAGAACAGGGACTTATAACTAGTCTTTGAAGTGAACTTCATCTGAGATCGTACTTGAAAAGTGTTCTACCCTTGTATTGTTTTTTTAAATTATTATTTTATACTCTAAACACCATGAGTTTGTAACACAAAACTACACATACAACTTTAGTGGCTCTCCAAGAGCTGTGAAACATCTGGTTGTGAAAAAAACAAACAAACCATAAAGCATGTAAAAGTAACAAAAAGAGCTAAAATCTCATTTCTGAAAATGAACAGGCTGGGATTTGCTCAAGGCAACGATTTTCACTTTATTTTCAAAGACGGATGGCTGGAACAATGAATAAACCTACCTGGACTTTGACACAAATAATCCATTTCACGAGTTTGAGCTGAGAAATTGTGCTTTACGGCCATTATAGAGTTATTAAGGTAACTGACCTCCTGCTGTATGAAGAAACCGTCTGTCTTAGATGCAAGTCATTCGGCCAATCACAATCAAGATATACRGTCTATCTTGACTGTGATTGGCCAAATGGCTCATGGTCCACCAAAGATCTTTCTATTGTGAAGACAATCACACTGTTTCTGAAACCAGACATTAGGGTTGGGCAATATTGGCAAAAAAAATAATCATGATTAATCGGTGTATTTAGCCRATAACGATTAACTTAACAATTAATCACCGTGAGTCCCTTATGTCACATGACCAATTTAGGGGAAAAGATTTGCTCTTCGTAAAAATCTGTTCCAAATTGTGTCAAAATCACAGACTTCAGGCTACACATCAAATTTTAAATTGTGTTGACAGATAAATAAATAACAGAACTTTTTTAAATGTTCGTCATATTTGAAGTGAAGAGGAGCACCGAGCGGACTGACTGGAGCCATTAATCGTATTAATCGTCAAGAGCCAAAAAATAATCGATTAATGTTTTTGTGACGATTAATTGCACTTGATACGATTATGCCCAACCCTACCAGACATACTTTTTGAATCAAGACAATTCACATAAGTGACCTATTCTGTTGAGAAATAGGCACATTTCGCTGAAAAGTGACACATTTGCAGGTATGAAAAAGGTGAGGATTGCTTAGGATTATCAGACATTTCGGACTAATCTGTCACAATAACAACTTTCACGAGACGATAAATTGTCGCAGAAATTACTGCGATAAAACTATAATATTGTTGGATACCAGTTTAAACTAATATAATGATATAAGCCCCTTGTTTACAGAAGTTTACGTTAAAATTTACAAAGTGTAATAAGAAAAAAAACAACTGTCTGCATTCTCAAGGTTTGGCGTGGTGGCCTGAGGGTGTTCTGAGGCGTCGCCGGCTGCATGAAGGTGTCAGCAATGTGAAGACGCTCCTCTGGCTAAACGCCTGTTCACAGGCCTCGCAGGCTACAAAGCACACGACAAACATCTGACCCCAGAATTCAACTCCCCCTCTACGCAAAGAGGGAGACACGAAGAAAACAAGCAGGCAAATGAAAATTATCGTTCTCATCTGAATTTATCGTATGAAATTCAGTTTAATTAAAATGTTACATGTAAAAAGAAAACATTCATAATTCTGGTTTAGCTCCAGTATCGGTACTTTACAAGTGAATTCTTCAATTGGTGATGAATGTTTACAACCATCCAGGCCGAACAGAATGTGACACAAACAACACAAAGTAGCCTGAGTGGCAAACTGCAGCATGGTTTAGATCTCACAGTGATAGTTACATGGAGATTTAATATGTCAGTACAGTGTTAAAACATGATCAGTTTGAAAGAGTGACAGATTTGGGTCATTGTTTATAAGCTCCTCCACTTCTGAACTGCTGTTTTTTTAAGCCATCCACATCAAAGCTGGGCTAACTTGTCCAAATTATTCAATTCCTACGCACACACACGAAAGAGAGGAGCTCATGCTCACCTTTGTTTGCCTGGACGGTGGCAGGGTCAGCACGGTGGTCTGGGCCATGGGCAGACGGCCCTGGTGGTCGAGCACACGGTGGGCCATGCCTGCCTCTCCCTCTCACAAAACCGTCAGACACTGGATGGCTTCACTCATCCAGGACAACACCGCTCTGCATATGGTTAGAAAAATAAATGAGCTCAGACAAGCGAGAGGAAAAACAAAACCAGTTGCAGGTAAAGCGTGCAGCCGCTCCGTGTCGCAGTTGCTCAGACTACAGAGGGCTCTCACGCCCATATGTTCCTGCACGAACAGCCTGGCTTGTAAACAACACGCAGCAACCCTCTGTTTACCTGAAAACCGCACACAGCGTGCCCTCTGCGCCAGCTCCTCCTTAACAAAACGACTGCATTCAGACACAAATACTAAAAGCCTCACATTAAACGAAAAATGTGATTCATTGAATTGTTGTTGGAAAATAAATAATAAAATTAAAAGAAAAAAAGACGTGCTGAAACTGTGGTTAAATTAGTGTTTGTATAAACATGTCTTACCTTCGCTGGTGYTTAAACGGACTCCAGTTTACAAAAACAGTCGAGGCGTGAATCCAGTCAGCAGTCTTTGCTTCTTCCACAAACACACACAGTGTTGAGCACGGGCTCGGCCCTCGCGCTTATAAACTCGCGACACGCCCTGATGTGAGGTTTTTTACCACGTCTTCTCGCCTTGTTGACGTCCCTGGAAAATGTTTACCAAAGATAAGTGTTGATATTTGTTTACAAGACAATGTCTGCGAGATAAGACTTCAGGTCAGAGCTGCTGCCTGCCTCCGCACACAGGATTGTTCTGGTTGGTGCAGCCTGATACAGCCCCCTTTCTGCCACTGGTTTGGACTACAATACCCAGAAAGGCAGCGGCAGACTCTCGCGAGAGTACGTGCCATTGGTATCTGCGACACTGGGTTGCCATGTAAGTTTCACTCAGTATGCTCTCGTTTTCTTTTTTTGTTTTTAACCTTTTCATTTGTTTGAATCAACAAAACTTCTCAAATGAACCTTTCCCTCCCAGGACAATTAGTTTTCAGTATTAATCAAGTTGTGCTTTTTGAGAATGTCGCTTTTTGTTATTTTCTCACTGAAAATAAACACAGCTGTTTTCAACCTTATCCTTTAAAATGTTTATAATTGTTTTGCTGTCCTTTTTGCCTTTTCTTCTGATTCTGCTTTTTTTCAACTTTTGTGTTAATTTCATCTTTATTCAGCTTCTATTTTGCTGACTTTATTTTATTTTTCTGCTTATTTAGCTGTCGTTCTGACCTGTTTTGCCCTTCTGCTAATTTCAATTTGTACTTCTTTTAGCTTAATTTTTGCTATTTTAAGCTTTTTTTTTCAGTTTTGTCTGATAATTTTAGCAATTTCTGAATTGTTAGCTCATTTAGCCACTGGACATTTATCAGCTACATTCACCTTTTTGTGATTATTTCAGGCAGGCCTATTTATTGCCTAATTCTGCAAATGTCTGCTCATTCTGTTTCTTTGTGCTAAATTCAGGTATTTTATCTTTTTTAAATGCTAATTTAGGTTAGTTTTTAGCTTTTTTTTTAGTTATTCAGCAAAAATCTTTCAGCATTTAGAATTCACAATTCACACTTTTCGAAAGAAATGGAAATTCTCTAGTTTATTTTAACTTTTTATGAAAAGTTTTTTTTTAGTTTGTCATCTTTTGTCTAAGATATAACCAAACAGCTGTGTAAAACTGTTAAAAAGCCACTTCATACGCTAACACAGTATGGAAAATACAAAAAAAAAAAACAAAAATTAAGTCACACGTGTGAGATGTTTTACAAAGAAATAAGATCACAACAGTAAAGTCGTAAAAATGTGTACGGTAAAAACATAAATAAATTGTTATCATTAATTATAATATTATAATAAACTATTATAATGAAAAAAAGAGTATGTAATTTAAATACATGAATGGGATTCATTCTCATATTGAATAAACTTTTCCTCTTAGGTACTTTTTATTGAAATATTAAAAAACAGACCAACCAAGTAATAATAAATTTTCACTATTCTGCATTTTTTGAATAGAAAAGTAGTGATGTGCATAAGCCTTTTTTTTTTTACAGTTGATGTAAATATTCATAACGAGTTTAAAACACATGCTGTGTCTGTACCTTTATTTTAAATAAATAAATAAATAAATAAATAAATAAATAAATAAATAAATAAATAAATAAATAAATACAGTAAAAATGAAGAATAGACTACGCTTGTCCTGTTTTGTTTTCTCTAAGAGCCAACCTGGCAACCCGCGGGTCTGCTCGCAGCGCTGAAAAACTTGTTGTCTGGGAAAATGGCGTCAAACGTAGAGGCCCCGGATCGTTGGTACCTCGCCCTCCTCGGCTTTGCGGAGCATTTCCGAACCTCCAGTCCGCCCAAAATACGACTTTGTGTGCACTGTCTCCAGGCCGTGTTTCAGTTTAAGCCCCCGCAGAGGATCGAGGCTCGGACACATCTTCAGCTGGGCTCGGTTCTCTACCATCACACCAAGAACAGCGATCTGGCTCGCAGCCACCTGGAGAAAGCGGTGAGGGGCGTTYGGTCTGGGAAAGAGCGGGGATGCTGCGGAGAAGGAGGAACGGGTGCAGGCCGCGGGCGGTGACAACAGCGAACGACGGAAGTGTTTAAATTGCTGTTTAGTCAAGAATATTACATTTGTTTAAAAAAAGTTTTTTTTAAAAGCGTAAGCTGTAGTAATGTGAACATATTTAATTTTACTCGGGTCGGCCTCGGTTCGMTGGTGTTAGCCAAACTAACCGGTGTTGGAGATTATTTTAGCTTCTGCCTTTAAACCCTTTATTGACATATTTTTGTATTTTGTTTTTCAGTGGTATATATCTCAACAACTTCCTCAGTTTGAAGATGTCAAATTTGAAGCTGCCAGCATTTTGTCTGAACTTTTCTGCCAACAGGTAAGTCTTATTCATTTCTAAAATGGGGARTCTTAACTATATGTTATCTTACTTAACATGCACCATCCTAAATGCTTTCACAGACTAAGTATGTCCAGTGTGGTGAAGTTATTTATTATGAAGTGTTCATTATGAATCTGTTTTTATGATTTTTCAGAATTTGGTGGACTCTGCAAAACCCCTGCTGCGAAAAGCCATCCAGATTTCCCAGCAAACACCATACTGGCACTGCAGACTGTTGTTCCAGTTGGCGGTATGTGCACTCGCAGACTTTACTGCAGCTTATTTAAACTGGATATAAACCTGCAACAGCAAAAATCCTGGTGATTGGTCTGAATGCTGTTTTCTGACAGATTACTTTGTTTTTGTATGCATCTACGGTTGGCCTTGTTTGTGTTTCAAATCACAAAAGAGCATGAAGTGATTGGTAAAACCTTCCTCTTTTAGCAACTTCATACACTGGAGAAAGACTTRGTGTCAGCGTGTGACCTTCTGGGAGTTGGAGCGGAGTATGCTCGCGTGGTGGGTTCAGAATATACCAGGTAAATGTCTATTTGTTTGTCATTATTACCGCCTTTTTTTATTCGATAGAATATTTTTGTTAATAAYCCACAGCGCAGAAACCAAAATGTTAACTTACCCTATAGAAATACAGTCATCTAAGATTTGTATGTCTGTGAAACATTTTCTTTTTTCAAATTATAGCCATCTGTTTTCTTGCTGCCTCTGTATGTGGCCACACTGTGTCGGACATGTTTGATGTAAAATGCGTATAAAACGACTTGACTAGCTAGAATMACTTCATTACAAATAATCTATGATACAAAAACAGTGGATTTGATGCTTTCTTTCTTTAAGCCATGAACTGCGTCCTTATGTGCAATGGAAGGAGAAAATTAAMTGGGGGAAGTAGAAGAGCTAAAATGCTTAAAAGCAGAGGACAGACAAAAATCAAACCAAAACACCTTACTGCAAACACACAACRTCAACAACAGCTTTGAGGGGCTGCTCACCAGCTGAAAGCAGACTCCCTGCATAGGCCTGTCTGTTTAGTGAGATTAAGAAATGATGCAGCGACCTGAAATCTGATCCACAAACTGCAGTTAGKAATAAGAAAAATGTCAACACGGAACATGGCAGATATAATAATCCAATTGTGTCTTYATGCAGACTTTTAATTTGCTTTAAAAGTAAACTAGCTTCTGTTTTACKGAGACATTTTAATAAAAGTATTCACGGGTTGTTGGACTTCAGCGCATACAGAACTTATAAATTTTCTGCTCTAATGCAGGGATGGGCAAAATCTTATCTTGTGCAATTAATCGTCAGAAAAACTCACCGATTCATAATTGGCAGTTTTTGATTATTGCGTTTAGTGACTGATATAAGTCGTAACGCAGAGCTAACACCAATGAGGTAAACTGGTTAAACGCATCATGCACACCTTTGTAGATAGACCACTGTGGTACTATMACGCCATATTGGAAGAGGCAAGCTGTCAATGTAAGCATGTTATCATGGCTAGATTTCTGTGAAAAATTGCAWATAAATATCAGTTTTTCATTGGTTAGCTTCTGCCTGGTAGAAACATCATATATTGCAGACGTGAGCACCTTGGGCAACATGTTTTTGCCTGCTATGATAATATTTACTGACAAGTATTTCTTTCAAATCACATTAATGGTTGTCAACAGAAAACTGAGTTCCATTAATGCGCTGACCGAAATTTAACACCATGTTTTCCACATTCAGCTTCTCCTCCCCTGCCCCAAACGGTACAGCCACTCTCTCCAGACGAGAAAAGTCTTGTGATATTGCCTCTAGCCAGTAGGGTTGGGCATAATCATATCGTGTGCGATTAATCGTCAGAAAAACATAATCGGTTAATTTTTGGCACTTGACAATTAATATGATTAATGCCAACAGGCAGAGTCCGCTCGCTGCTCCTCTCCGCTTCAAATATAACGAACATTAAAAAAAGTTCTGTAACTTATTTATCTATCAACACAATTTAAAATTTTATGTGTAGCTTGAAGTCTGTAATTTTGACACAATTTGGAACAGATTTTTATGAAGAGCAAATCTTTCCCACTAAATTGGTCATGTGACTATGAAATAAGGGTGTCCAGGGACTCCAGGGGATTAATCGTCAAATTAATCGTTATCGGCTAAATACCACAATTAATCGTGATTAATTTTTTTGTCAATATTGCCCAACCCTACTAGCCAGTACACCTCATTGGCCAAAGCTAATGCTAACACGATGCTAACACTACCAGGTTTAATCACCTGAAACCTTGCTGTAAACCGAAGTACAAGGAAAGCCAGAAAAATGTTGGTTACAGCAAACTCTCCTCCAGTGAATGGTGGAAACAAATCTACATGTGGCGAATCCACGATGCACTCAGTCAGTCCTGTAGGAGCAGCACAGTAAATAAAATGAAGACATTCGTTTGACTGATGGTTTGTATCATTTTAGAACCCAAGGTTAGGGCTGCAACTAATGACTATTTTGATAGTTGACTAATCTGCAATTATTTTTTCAGTCAGTCAGCTATTATTTCTGTCACAATGTCCATCTATGCTTCCTGTGGGTGCTCCTCCTGRACCAATTCCAGTGCACATCTCCTCTCACCTGTTATCCAGTGTCTCTAYCTTTTTAACATAAAAAGTAACGTTCTCATAGCGAATTAAAATAGTAACTAGGGTTGGGCAATATTGGCAAAAATAAATCACGATTAATTGTGGTATTTTATCCGATAACGATTAATTTGACGATTAACCCCCTGCAGTCACTGGACACCCTTATTTCATAGTCACATGACCAATTCAGTGGGAAAGATTTTCTTTTCATAGAGTCTGTTCTAAATTGTGTCAAAATCACAGACTTCAGGCTAAACATCAATTTTTAAATTGTTTTGATAGATAAATAAATTACAGAACCTTTTTTTATGTTTGTCATATTTGAAGCAGGGAGGAGCACCGAGCGGACTCTGCCTGGAGGCATTAATTGTATTAATTGTCAGGTGCCAAAAAATAATCGATTAATGTTTTTCTGATGATTAATCGCACACGATACGATTATGCCCAATCCTAATAGTAACCCATGAAACATGAATTTGAACCTCAAACCTAACAGCTTATTCTGATGTATTTTAGCATTAATACATGTAAACACAATAAAAATGAAATTATATAATACAAATTAAACTGCAAGTAGTTTAAACAAACAAATAACTCAAAATAGCAGCTTCTCCCCCAACATGAGGGACTAACCTGCCCTGCTGCAAGTAAAAAAATAAAAATAAAATAAAGAATAACTTTGGTTAAAATGACATTCAGGTGCGTAAAAGTAAGAAAATAACCCATGCTGTTGGAAATCTTGCTGGATCTGTCAGTCCACCTGGATCAGCAAACGGTAAAAGACGAGACAGGATGGATTATTACTATAATACAGTGATTTATTGTGATGGCACGTGATGCTTTAGCTAATGTCAGCATAACTGATAGCATCCGCTTCATACACACTGTTTTCTGATAACAAACAACATTTATAGACAGTTGGCTACAGCACAACATGATCAGTCACTGGAAATAAGATTTGTAAAGCATCCGCCTGACGAGCAAGCTAACTTTCTGAAACCTACTAATCTATAAATTCGATATATTGATTATTAAAAGTGTTGGCAACAAATTTCGTTATCGATTTGTTGTGTTGGGCAATTTAAGGTGGTTTTATTTTAATGACTAAGCTTTGCGTTTTAATTTGCTGACAATATCTGAGTGAAGACATGAACCGTACTTGCCTTCACCAAATACTGCAAACAAAACAAGGCATTTATTTAATTATTGTAATTAGCAGCTGTCTTCTTGAATGAAAGTATTCTTTACATGATCGTCACTGACATGAGACTATCTATGGTCAGAGATAAACATTTAACTAATAGTTCACATTTTTATTTCTGGTTACACTCTTCACACAAGGACACATTTTACAAAGCTCATGGAGAGAAAATATAAAGAGACTTTCAAGGATATAGCACATATTTGTGTATTTTTGTGTACATTTTTTTTACTGTAGCTATTTGACAAATGCATTACAATTTAATATTATATTTAACCAGTTATTTGTGCAATTCGCTATTTCAGAATAATAAATAGGAATAAAGAGGTTGAAAGTAAAAACATTTTTTTAAATTTTTTGTTTTCTGATTCATTGATTAATAAAAGCTAATTGAACACTTAATCGATTATTATTATAATAATAAATAACGTGCATCATCATTAAAATGCCGGGTCGACTAATTTTTATAATCTGTGTTGTCGATTGTCGACAAGTCATTGCAGCCCTATACAGAGTAACTGATTTAGTCAAAAACAAAAATAATTGTGATTTATTAATCATCTAAATGCCACAATTCATCATCATTATTATTTTTTTCGCAAATATTGCCCAACCTTACTCTCATGACAAGCTCATCTGTCTTCAAACAAATTCAGTGTTGAAACCAATTTTCTGTGAGAACTGGTGTCTTCAATGATAAAAGGTTGGGATGAACTGGCCAAGAGCCTGTATAATGTATCAGATTATTCAGTAGAGTGTTCAATTTGTTTTAAATCTGCAGCCTTAATTGTTAAGATTTATAATAAATACTTTTGACCATTCAGCTTAAATTAACTGATCAAAAACTACAGAAATAAATAAACTTAACATAAAAATATTCATTTTCTAAATCCGTTTCAAGTCCAGTCATTAACATACAGTCAGTGTAAATTAGGCTTAGCTTATCTTTGTTTGTATGCAAATTTCTCAAAACATTTTCCACTTCCTTATAAAAAAGGCTTTTCATCAGTATTGTTTACTTTTTAATCAATAAGTGTCTGATGTGATCATTTTGGATTATTTTACCGGATTAAATTTGATTTTATTTGTTTCCCCAGGGCTTTGTTTCTTCTTAGTAAAGGAATGGTGAGTTGTTTTTTTTTTTATTCTCTCTCTGCTGTTTCATCACTCTAAAGAGTAATATTTATGCTTTTACAAGTGGTGTGAAATATTTCAATTAAATTTTATTYCCAACCTTCCAGTTGCTGCTAATGGAGAGGAAACTCGGTGAGGTGCATCCTCTTCTCACACTGTGTGGAACTATAGTTGAAAACTGGCAGGGAAACCCGATCCAAAAGGAGTCTCTGAGAGTTTTCTTCCTGGTGCTGCAAGTCACACACTACCTGGATGCCGGGCAGGTAGGTAATCTGCTCTGGCTGGCTCTAATTAGCGAAGCTAATGGATGGCAGGTGGAAATGTAATATTTAATTGATTATAATTTTTTCCTCCAGGTGAAGAGCGTGAAGCCATGTCTGAAGCAGCTGCAGCAGTGTATCCAAACCATCTCTACGCTTCAGGATGATGAGATCCTGCCCACCAACCCAGCAGATCTCTTCCACTGGCTCCCCAAGGAGCACATGTGTGTCCTTGTATATTTGGTAAGACTGATTTTTCTTTCCTTGTTACTTAAAATCTCCTTTTAGTTATGTTACCCCAGATTAGCAGCCTGGTTTTCACAATGTGTTTTTTTTTTTTTTTTACCTGATACTGAGCTGTCATTGCAGATTCAAAGATACAAAACTTGTTTCTGATTCTTCACACATACATTTGGTTTTTGGCTTCCTACCAAATCTTCCTTTCTTTTTGTTTTAGTTCCATGTTGAATAAAWCTAGAGATGCACCAGTTCTGGTTTTGTGGCTGATATCAATTTATTTTCTTTTTCAATTAACTAACCCATAAAAAGTCATACCCATTCAAGATTATCTGCCATCTTAAAACAAATACATCCTTACAGAAATCGTCTACACTGACGACATGCACTGTTGCCAATGGGGTGTCCTGATCCAATATTGATATCGGTCCGATATCAGCCAAAAAACGAGTATTGGATTTTATCGGCCTGAATCAAAAATCTCCAATAAAAGCACTCTTGATATAAGCGCTCCAATCCAGCAGTCCACTGACTCCGCTCCAGTGTTTCTATCCAGCAGCGCTTGGATCCGGCATGCAGAGCCCACGTGATCACAACAACATGCTGCGCTAACAAAGTAGCAAGAAGTAGGAGCAATGTTGGCAGTACTTTTTATTTTCATCAGAAACAGAGTTAAAGCTAAGTGAAAAATTGTCACGCACAAGTTTTTTGTTGGGGCACAGAACCGTGTACGTTTTAAACKGGAGYGACAACCAGGCTCTGCTCTCCACCCTGGCAGCAGCTTTGCGGTTCGGCTCGGTCCAGTTTCAGAACCTCCTCTCCGGTCTGGTCGGTGGTCCTATAAGTGAGGACATCACGCTTACGAATTTGACATCAGCAGAATGCTGCCCGTGGATTAGCTCTGGGATTGATGGGCAGAAGAAAGGAGAGCGCAGCTTTTGTTTTGGATATGAGCGCGACGTGACGAGAGCAGTGATAAAAACTGCTCCCTGCAGGAGAGAGACGCTAATCTCCACATGATGCTCAGGCTGTAGAAAGTGGAAATGCAGCAGTAAGAAAGGTAGCTATCAATTTAATTAACTGACTAATTCTTACTATTTATTTTTTGCTCTTGTTATTAGAGTGATGTTTAATCTGTTTACACACTTGTTTTAGTGAAGATTAAGTGCAATGATCACTTTGTTTTGGGCACAGTCAGTAAAATTGGAGCTGTGGACTCTTAACTTTGAATAGATGGACATTGGACAATAATGTGGGGTTTTCTTTTGTGCCCACCTTCAGTGTTTCCCACCATAAAGCAGCACCAGGCTGACAGATAATAAAACAATAACTGGAGTGATTTTGAATTGTTATTTTACACTTTAAAAGTACATTTAGTTTTTATTATGTTTTATTTTTCAGGGTCTTCTAATTTATTTTATTAAATTGTAGAATGTTCTTCAGTTTAAAATGTATGTCATCCATTGGTTAAAAATAAATGGGTCAATATTTCTCATACCTACTCTTTCACCGTTTGACTTGATCAAGACTTTTGTAAGATTTAACACTACAAATTAGGTAAACGTGATTTGTACTGATATGGTATTGGGTGAGTATCAGTATCGGCCATTTCTCAAAGTTGCAATATCGGTATTGTATCGGAAGTAAGAGTTGTATCAGGACACCCCTAGTTGCTAAGTAAAAAGTAGTTATTCACTGTTTTAAAGATGACGTCATTATTTAATTTGCATATTTGGTCATTTCAACGTAATTGTKATCCAGGCTGTAGAAGATAAATCTAAACTTTGGATGGTCAAAATGTGAGTGAAATCACTCCAAATGCTATGTAGAACACAATCGAACTTATTAAAATTATTTACTGCATAATCACCACATTTATTTTTCCTCTAGAGTTCCATGTAAACAAAATATCAAATATTTACATTCAGGCACTGAAGATGAAAATTAGCTAGAACGCTGTAATCTACGCAGAACAATCCATTTTTACTACATCAGGGGTTTTGTGATCCTCTATCCATAGTTCCTGACAGATAAACAAGTTTGGAACTGGCAGTGTCCTGAAGAGACACTCAAACACAACTATTTGGGTTGTTTTATCCAGGGGTCCCACGGGTCCTTGAAATCCTTGAAAGTTTGTGAATTAAAAATATTTCAAGGCCCTGGAAAGTTTGTGAAAACAGCCAAAAATTACACTTGTCCTTGTCCTTGAAAGTCCTTGAATGTTTTTTTGGGGATTGAAATTCTCTATTCTCTATTGATTTTCATCATCTTTAAAAAAAGTAATTTACAAAATGTATTTAAAAAAAACTTACATTTGTTGCGGTGGATAACTCAGGATTACGGTAAACTGACATGGCTTTCAACAAATAACATCAGCCATAATCATAATTTTAGGCAATCAGAGCAGAGCAGGGCGGTTCGTTCTTTCTGAGCCCAGGTGAAACACCACAGCTCCTCCTGTCCTCACCAAGCGTCTGGACATGTTCACATCCCCTCCTCCCAAACTGAGCTGCCCAACCTCCCAGGACATAATTACATGTCCATTTATTGTGGATATGAATGTAGGGTAAACATTGAATCCACTTTCTTCTATGTTGTTCAGTTTTTGATTAAATTTACATGATATTAAACATGTTTATTGGTAACATTCTGTGGTAGCAGTAGG